ACACAGCGATTTTTTTCTTTTATTCATCACCTTAATCTTTAACTACCTAAAACAATGCCGGATACATACTGGGCTATTAATAAAGATGGGCCGGATGACTGAAAGAATCCTCGGAATCCGGGAACACGGACACTACTGTTGTCTTTAATTTACAGAGGAGAAAACTTCAGCTTGGAAGGGTCATTTATTTATTTTTAAGTAGGCTCCAGGTCCGGCATGGAGCCCAACACAGGGCTTGAACTCACAACCCCGAGATCAAGAGCCCAAGAATCGGACCTCAACTGACTGAGCCACCCAGGCGCCCCCTGCTTGGAAGGGTTAAATTATGTTGTCAAAGTTTCCAGGATGTTGTGCTTCAGAATCAGGCTCTGACTCTCCATCCGCATGGCTCCAGGGCCAGCCCTTAGCCACACACACTCACTGCAGCCCCAGGGACAGCCAGCCTATGGGCCGGGTGGGAGCCTGGTCAGCCCAATGGTTTAGTGAACTGGGGGACGGTTTCCGGGAGGGAGCCAGGAATCTGTGGGAAATGAACGTTGGAGCCGGAGGGGCTGGGCAGACCCAGGTGATTAGAGCCAGGCAAAGGGAGAGGATTGCGGCTTAAAAATGCTGCAGGGGGGTAAGAAAAAAGATACAAAGAGATTCATCAATCTGCTAGAGGATTTAGCCCAAGGTGGGGGTAGTGCTAGAGGTTAAGGCCAACCTCTGATCCAGGCAGAAATGCTTTCCACGGCCTTCCCTTTTTATCTACAGAATAGGAAACGTGATGACTCATCAGAGACAGATGAAAAGCTAAATATTCATAATGCTAAGAATGTAGCAAAAAATAGGAAAAATGAGTAGATCACTATCAAAAGAAGACATCTGATACAAAATGAAATCAGAGAGGGAGACAAACCATAAGAGACTCCTAATCATAGGAAACAAAGTGAGGGCTGCTGGAGGGGAGGGGGGCGATGGGCATTAAGGAGGGCACGTGATGTCATGAGCACTGCGTGTTATATGCAACTGATGAATCACTGACCTCTACCTCTGAAACTAATAACACACTATATGTTAACTAAATGATATATTTTTAGAGATTTTATTTATTTATTTGACGAGAGAGAGAGTGAGAGCAGAAACACAAGCAGGGGCAGAGGGAGAGGGAGAAGCCGACTCCCCCCTGAGCAGGGAGCCTGATGTGGGCCTCGGTCCCAGGACCCTGGGATCGTGACCTGAGCTGAAGGCAGACGCTTAACGACCAAGCCACCCAGGCGCCCCCACCAATTGATTTTTTTTTTTAAATAAGTCTTTTTTTTTTTTTAATGAGTCTTTCCAAAAACATCCTCAGCTCCATTGAATTCAGTGGAGGATTTTTTTTCCAAATTCCTCAAAGACATCCTTATATTATTTCAACTGTACTAGAATACAGAAAAAAAAACTGTATCCCCCAGCCTATTTTATGAGACAAATACAGTTTTGATAAAATTTAATGAAATATATCTATAATGATGACCAGTACCTCACGGAATGCAAGTACAATATATTATATGGAAAACTAACAACTAACGTTTACTAGAAAAAATGATTAGTCATTTCAAAAAAATGTTGAGAAAGTAATCAGTAAAATTCAACATCTATTCTGGATTAAAATGTGGGAAGAAAAAGCATATAGGAAGATCCGTCGTGCTCAGAGAAGAGAGGAGGAAATGCAGTACATCTGGAGAACTATCAGAACAACCACAGCAAAAGCACCAGCAACATTTGAAATCCCGAATTAGGACTTTATATTTAAATGGTCTAAATAAAGGGACAAACTAAAATATATATATACATATATTATATATATATTTTGTAAAGGAGATGTTAAATACCTAAAAAATCCAAGAAAGTCCTCCAAAACAAAGCAACAGCAAGAACAGCAACAACAAAGCCTAGAAGCAATGAGTTCAAAGCCACAGGGTAGGCGATAACAGTTCTTTCAAACATCACACGTATCCCTAAGATCAGTGAGATAGAAAATACAGTACAAACAGCTTCCATTTACAACAGAACCAAAGCCAAATGCACTCAAGATTTCGCGGGCGTGACATATGGCACTTACTAAAGAAACTTTAAAAGCGCAACGAGAGTAACAAAGACAGGAACACGGGAATTGCTAATCCCGACTGCTGTCTGGGAGACAGAATGCAGGAAAGAGAAACAGAAGTTGTTCTCAAGACTCAGTCCAATATCAAAATCCTCACTGTGTTTTTACAAAACATGACATGTTGGTTGTGACATTCGGCTGCAAGAGGGGTCAGGCAAGAACATCAGAGTTTGTTATAAGTAAATATGAAACCCAAGAGCAGACAACTGTGGGGCTACCATAGTGACCCTAACAGATTTTAAAACCATGGCAGACCAAAGTGCAATCAGCAAAACCTTGAACATTAAGATAAAACCTGAAAGTTCATCATTCATTCAACATATTCTTAGGAACTATTTGTGGACCAGCCACTCTGAGCTATTCTGGGAACTGGGTATACAGCCGTGAATAAGCCAGGAAAAGTCCCCACGGTCACAGTCAAGGAGAAACAATTAACAAGTCAACAGATAAGTGGACGGATGATTTCAGAAGGTGGGGAGTACACAGGGGTGAGGGGTGGAGGGTGGGGAATGAGGGGTGGGGATGGGGGGTGGAGTGGGGGGGGCAGCTATATTGGGTTTGGCAATCAGAAGGCCTCTCTAAAGAGGGAGATTTTGAGCTAAGATCTGTGGAACAGAATGGGGTTTCCAAAAATAATTTCAATTGATTCTATGTCAGTCAAGTTGCTCATTGGGGGGGGACCTCCCATGTGCAAGGCTGGGCTGAGGGCTGTGCTCACATAGATGGGACTTTAACTTTAATTCGATCCTTGCTCTCAGGGGCTTCATAATTACACACGAAGACTGGGGGGAAATGTTTGTACCATGTATGACAAGGGGCTCCCACAAATCCATAAGAATAAGAGAACAGTGGGAAACTGGAAAAAGTATAAGAACAATTCACAGAAAGAAAAATGAACTCCAGAAAGCCCATTAGCTATAAGGGAAAACATGCTCACCTAGACAGTAAAGAAAGGCAAATTAAAACTATAAGATACCAAATTTCACCAATTATAATGGTGGAAATAAGAAAGATCAAAGTCATCCGATGCGATCACACACTTGCATCTCGTCGCTGGGACATAGATAGGAAGAGCCCTTTCCAAAAGCAATCTGGCAGAATCTTCTAAAACTTTAGATGAGAGGATCCTATGATTCAGCAACAGAAATCGATTCCGCAGAAACTGAAGCTCAAGGACCTAAAGGGAACTCTGTAGGAGGTTGCCACTGCAGCGATGTTTCTAATGATTCAAAAGAAAAGGAAATTATCCTATGAATCCATCAAGAGTGGGAATGACTGAACAGCTCACGGTCACGGCAGAATCTGGAACACATCGCAGACGTTACACACAGAGCTGTGCCAACACAACAGACTGACAACCAAAGGGGACTTGGACAATTCTATACAAATTAAGAGGTATTTTCTTCGAGATTCTATGGGTATACGCAGAGAAAAGACTGGAAGGATGTACACACACTGTCAACAGCAGTAACAGGGGGGAAGTGAGATTTGCAGTTTTTATTTTGTACATTTTTAATAGAGAAGAAAAACCCAATCCGATCTAGGGAAGAAACAGATCATCATTGTCCCAGCGGGGAGGGAGAATCTCTATTTCTGAATAGAGAAGGAGCATTGCGTCAGCACCAAGATGATGTTTTCTGATGTAGTCATATTTTTTTTTTTTTGGTGCAGTCATATTTTTAAAAAGCATGCCATACTCAAATGCGGTGAAACAAATATCAGACAAGATCAGAAAGGGAAAATGCGGCATGCGTAACAGAGAAAATCTATAAATGATAGAAATATACAGCTGCTTCAGAGATCCTTTTTGGAAGGAGGTATTTAGACATAAAACATAAATAAAATTAACTTTATCAAAGTACTTACCGAGATGTCAAAGAAGGAGAACAGAAAAGAAAAATATGTCCTGTTAAAATGAGGAAATACAGGGCTGTCATGCAGAAAAGAATAGTTTTATTCGCACTAAGAAGAGCTGTACATTAAGCCACAAGTGAAACTAAGAACAGTTAATTCAAGCTATTTCTTGAGCACATACTACATATATGAGACATTGTGCTTTACACAGAGCACCTCAATTTAATCCTGACTTTTGCCACCTTAGGTAGACAGTATCCCCCTTACAGACAAGGAAAGAGAGACACAGAGAGGTTAGGTAACTTGCCCGAAGCCACACAGCTGGTGAGCAGAGGAGTCAGGATTCAAACCCAGGACTGATTCAAATGCCCAAGATCTGAAGTATTCTGCTATAATCTCCTAAAACTAAAAGCTCAAGGCCAAGGAGGGTGGAGAAGCGGGCCTCAGTAAGAGCATGCTCACACACAGGGCCTGCTTTATTTTTTTTTGTCAGCTGCCGAGGGTCCAGGTGAGCCCCAGAAGCCAGCAGGACGCAGCTGGGACCTGGGTCCAGTCTGGCGCTCATGCTGACGGTCTCCCTGCTCCTGTCGCCCTCCAGCCCGGAGGCGGGGCTTCTGGACTCTGGGCCAGAACTGTCCTGAGGCCTTTGTGACCACAGACCTGGGGGTTGCCATGGCGCCCACAGGGCCTGGGCCAGGGGCCTCCTCCCCCTGACCCACCTGCTTGGCGCCCTCAGCATCTGCACCTCCTCGCCAAGGCCCGGGGCTGCCCCCACTGTGTCCCCAGCCCTGGCCTGCCGCCTGCTGCCTGCTTCCTGTTCAGCCTCCCCCTCCCTGGAGCCCACCTCCGGCCTCTGCTCTCCCCGAACGGCGTTCGCCCTGCCCTCTCCTCTCCACCCCCCTGGCCCTCCCCGTCCTCGGTCCCCCCTGCTTCTCCCTGCACCCCCCACTTCTTCTCCTCACCCTTGGCTTCCTCCCCACCAGCTGAGCTGGGTCAGCCATATCTAGGGAGGACAATGGGGCGCGGGGGGAAGAAGGGGACCGTGACCCCTCACGAGCAGAACCCAAGCCCAAGACCTAAAAGGGAGTCTAATACAGGGAAGAGAAGAAAAATGAAGAGGAAAAAAAAGAAGACTGATTTGGAGGAGCTGAAGAAGGAAGTGGTCCTGGTGAGAAGCCCCCAGCTGCTCTCCTCAGCCCCGCAGCCCGGCCTCTCCGGCCCTGACAGCACCCCCCAGGCCAGTCCCGGCCCTCTGCCCCAGGGGCTTCTCCCCCTCCCCTGGAAATGACCCAGGTCACCACCCGTCCCCCAAAGACTCCACTGTCCCCTCAGGAGGATCACAAATTAACCTTGGAAGAGCTGAGCGCCAAGTACTCTGTGGACCTGACGATGGTAAGCAAAGGAAGCCCCTGATGGAGGCAGAAGGTCTCCTTCCGACGCGAAGCCCCCACCCCATCCCCGGGGGGCAGCAGTGGAACTGGAAGTTGGGGCCCTACCTTCCAGGTCAATGTTGTTACCCTTCCTTCCTCCGAGCCAAGCTCCCCAGCACACACACTGGGGAAAGCCCAGCATGGTAACGCCCCAAGAGTTCGGGGTCAGATGAGAGAAAGGAGAATGGGGTAGGGCAGCACTTCTCCAACCCTTGTCCCCGGGGCCCCTCTCCGCTCTCATAAATTCTCAAGACCCTAAAGAGCTTTTGTTTGTGTGAGTTACATCTATCCACTGCTATCATCTTCAACATTAAAATTGAGAAAATTAAAAAATACTTCCTAATTCATTTAAAAACAAGAGTAAATCCATTATACATTAGTATAAATAATATTTGTATGACAACTGTTTTCCCAAACAAAAATTTAGTGGAGTTTGACATTTCTGCAAACCTTTTTAATGTCTAGCTTTTTTTTTTAAATGTCTAGTTTTTTAATAGAAGGCAGCTGGATTCCCATACATTTTCAGTATTAAATGTGTTGTGATATGTGACCATACGCTCAAGAACAAGAGTGGAAAAAGGCGAACCGTGATTTAGCACTATTGTGAAAATCGTCTGATTACGGGACCCCATGGGCGCCCCAGACCACACTTTGAGAACCACTGGTTTAACAGTACTGTGGTGCTCAAAAGGTTTGTGAATCAGTCCACCAACTAAAAATCCTTCCTATGTAAATGTGCTAAACAAGGGAGATCTCTTCTGTACTGCAAATTCTAGGAAGAACCAGGGTGACCTTCAGAGAGCTTCCTTGGTCTGTAGACCCATCCAGGGGCTATAAATGGCACCTCTGAGCTTTGCTGTAGCTGCTTTTCTGCTCATGGCTCTCCGTCCTTTCCTATTTCCTCTCCACACAGGGCCTTAGCCCCAGAAGGGCACAGGAAATCTTGAGACAAGATGGACCCAATACACTTACCCCACCCCCCACCACTTCAAAATGGTTCAAATTCTGTAAACATCTGTTCAGTGGCTTCTCGATCCTACTATGGGTTGGTGCCATTCTCTGCTTTGTGGCCTATGGCATCCAGTTCCATCAGAAGGAGGAGCCTACCAAAGATAACGTGAGTCTGTTCAGCTGCTCGTGCACAACCCAGTCTCTGCTTAGCCCTGACACTCTTCTGCTCAGCAGCCTTGCACTACCAAAGTCCTCTGGCCCAAATCCCTAGTACTCCCAGGATTTTCCAAGGGAGGCCGTGGTCCCTCCTGGTTTCCCTAGCCTTTTACCTAGCAAGCTACTGATTCAGCTCCCTGAGAGCCATGGTTTTACCCAGAAACTTGCTCTCCTTTGATTATCTTCCTGACTGATCATCAAAGCACTCTGCAGCCCCCTTCTCTTTGCCAGAATTTTCATCTCTTTGAGCTCCCACCCTGGCTCTCCCCAGCCTCCCCCAAGCCCATGAATAGCCTTTCTGGGTGTTTGCTGCATCCTGCTGGCCCTCACCCAGACTTAGGGCTCCGAGTGAGGCACCCTGCCTCGGACTCTTCCTTAGCTGTTACCCTTGCAAGCTGATTTTCTGAGGGTGAAGAGGAAAGAAAAGATCTCCTGGTGAGCCCTTTGTTTCCCTGCCCCCAGCTGTACCTGGGCATCGTACTGGCTGTCGTGGTCATCATCACCGGCTGCTTCTCTTACTACCAGGAGGCCAAGAGCTCCAAGATCATGGAGTCTTTCAGAAACATGGTGCCTCAGGTAGGATTGGTGTGAGAGAGGTGTAGAATGTGGCCAAACACACAGTTTTTGAGTCCCCAGAAAATTATACCCTACAATGTGTGAACTGAGTGAGGGTGGTGATAAGAATGAGGGTCCTTCAGATTTTACTCTATCATGCCTTAGAAGTACCCTGAGAAAGACACAGCATCACCTATGAAGTAGTCTGGTCTGGAATGCATAATCTGAATGTGATAAGCATAATCTGAAGCCCCCAAATGAGAACATTCTAGTAAAAGTGGGGGAGGTACAAAGGAGGTTGGAGAGGCTGGATTCTTCAAATGTCAATGGCTTTAAAGACAAAGAACAGGGGCACCTGGGCGGCTCAGTCAGTTAAGCATCCAACTCCTGATTTCGGCCCAGGTCATGATCTCAGGATCATGAGATCGAGCCCTGCCTTGAGCTCCGCACTGGGAGTGGAGTCTGCTTGGGATTCTCTTTCTCCCTCTCCCTCTGCAGCCCCCTCCCCACCTCATGCAAGCTCTCTCTCTCTCTCTCTCTCAAAAAAAAAAACAGACAAACAACAGCTGTGAGAATGTTCCAGATTACAGGGGGCTAAAGGGGCATGACAACTAAATGCAATACCTGACTGAGACTGAATCCTGTGCCTAAGGAAAAAATAATGTAGTAAAGGACACACGGGGTCCTGACAAAGCTGGAATACAGACAGTAGATGACAGTACGGTGTCAAAGTGAAATCTAGTGAAATCGACAACCGCGTTGTGGGTATTAACACACTAGTTCTTGGGACGCGTGCACTGAAGTACGCAGGATAGAAGATCGTCACGTATGTGACTTACCCTCGGAGGGTGCAGGCAAAGAAGCATTCACATAGGGCGCCTGGGTGGCTCAGTTGGTTAAGCGACTGCCTTCGGCTCAGGTCATGATCCTGGAGCCCCGGGATCGAGTCCCACGTCGGGCTTCCTGCTCAGCAGGGAGTCTGCTTCTCCCTCTGACCCTCTTCCCTCTCGTGCTTTCTATCTCTCATTCTCTCTCTCTCTGAAATAAATAAAATCTTTAAAAAAAAAAAAAAAAGAAGCATTCACATACATACATGTGTGCAGACAGTGACCAAAGGACAAAGCAAATGGGGTACAGTGTCAACAGGTGAATCTGGGTAAAGGTCATTACAAGTATTCTTGGTACAATTTTTATGCTTGCCACTTTTCTGAAAGTTTAGATTATTTTCTAATATGTTTAAGCATCTGGAAATAATATGACAGCAGAAAGAGGTTTCTAGGCACAGAGCTGGAAACTTGGAAAGAAACAGGCTCCAGAATTTCCCGACAGCACCGTCATGTTCTAGTGTTATAGCCCGGGATCTCTTCCCTTTGGTGTCAACATAAATTAATTCCTCCCTTGGGTGAGAGTTCAGGCAGGGGATGATGCTTTGGTAAAATGAAGTAAGAGTTGGGAGACCATTCATTAGCTTTTGCTGCCTAACAAGCCACCCCAAACTTAATGGCTCAGAACAACAAAAATAGCAGTTCCCACACTTCTATGCCAGGGCTGTTCTGATCTGGGCTGGGCTGAGGGGTGCTGAACGGTCGCAGATGACCTCATCCCCATGTGCGGGGATGGCTGAGATGGCTGTGACCCCTGGACCCTTTCTCCTTATGACCTCTCTTCCTCCAGGAGGCCAGCACAGGCTTGCTCGATACGGTGGCAGAGGGGTTCCCAGTGACGACAGGGCAAGCCCCCACTTTTTAAGCCTCTGCTTGCATTATGCTTGTAACATCTTATGAGCCGAAGCAAGCCATGTAGCCAAGCCTAAGTGTAAGGACGGAGAGACAGACCCCCATCTCTTAGAGAGAGGGTCATCAGAGTCATGCTGCAAAGGACAGGGATGGTAAGAATTTACAATCTGCCAAAGAGACCTTCAAGGGTGGTGCGGTGAGTGACAGCTTAAGGAAGGGTGTCAGAAGGAAGGAGACCAGGAACAGGAGTTTATAGGCCAGGAGCGGGTATGTGGAAGCAGAAAGCTTTGGAAATAACCCTGCACTATCTTCCCACAGCAAGCTCTGGTGATTCGAGGTGGAGAGAAGATTCAGATCAATGTGGAGAATGTGGTGGTAGGAGATCTGGTAGAAGTGAAGGGCGGAGACCGAATCCCGGCTGACCTCCGGCTCATCTCCTCACAAGGTTGTAAGGTGAGAGGGTGCGGGAAGCTACGGGAGGGGGCCAAGCACTGTAGTGATCTGGACTCAGTGAAAGAAAGCATCATCTTATTATTCAGAACCTCAAGAAGTTACAGGTGCAAATTTGAGGTTGGAGCCAACAGGTGCTGGTGTGTATGTGTTTCTCTCTGCATACCAGTAATGATGGTGTTGGTGGCAGATAAAGATGTGTCATCTTGATAAAGGAACTTTTCTTCCCATGTTCACTTTACGTCCCATCCTCCTGCCCATCCCAGGTGGACAACTCATCCTTGACGGGAGAGTCAGAGCCCCAGACCCGATCCCCTGAGTTCACCCACGAGAACCCTCTGGAGACCCACAACATCTGCTTCTTCTCCACCAACTGTGTGGAAGGTGAGCATCACATCACAAATAGCCTAGTTTCAAAAGCAGAGATTCAAATAAAGATTTCAAGAACTCTCTATCTTCGAAAGGTAGTTGGGTAGGTAACAGCTGGTGAACAGTGTAGGCCCTCCATCACTCATGAGCTGTATGACCTTTGGTAAAAGTTCAAAGCCACCATTTCCACATTTGCACCCTGATGATACTAAGAGTCGCTATCCAGTAGATTTTCATTTGGATTCAATGAGATCATGCATATACAATGCTTAGTACAAAGCCTACCATGTTGGAAGTGCCCTGCAATCGTCAGCTCCATATTATTCTGGCTGGTGAATGGACTATGCTCTAGAAGTTGAAAATAGCACAGGAGGGCAGAAAGTTACTTGGCCCTGCTAGGTCAGTCTTCCTCTGAGGGGAGCCGCAACTTCTCACTATTCCAGGGAGGTATTGACATTGGAAATTGGAGTTACCAGAGGTACCACTCACACTTTGGCTTTTCTCCTAGAATGTAAGACACCTTTGAACTGGGAGGCAGTTCTGGCCAAGGTGGTAACAACGGACTCAGTCTCATGTCAACCTTCCCCCTTAAGGAGGCCTGCAAGACTCTCAGGAACACACATGAAAGCCATTACTCGTGCTTAAGAATAAATGTTTGGGTATCTAAGAAACAGCTATTTTTTTTTTTTAATTGAACGCCTGGCATGTGCCAAGTGTTACAGATGTGTCTGACTCTCACAACACTACACAACAGACATTCGCCCTATTTTGCATATGAAGAGCTCAAAGAAATGGAATGCAGTATCCAAGAGCACAAGCCTTAGGAAAGAGGAGACTCAAGGATCTAGTGCGAGTCCGTCTCCCAAAGCCTGTGCTCTTTCCACAGACCATTATCTGGGATAAAGCTTGCCAATGACCTCTCTGGTCATGAAGCTATCCACTTGAAGAATATTTTAAAAAATGAGAGTAACAATAAAGCTGAAGAAGAATCCAACCAGAAAATAAAATATATATTGAAACTTTTTTTTTTTTAATTTTGATTGGGCAGAAAGATGCAGGTCAGCAAGCTTCCTTCAAAAACACTAGATTTGTATTATTACATTTTAGGAAAAAGTTTTGCTCACATTTGTCCTTCCCAAGTAGGTTTTTGGTCAGCAAAGTATATGCTTCAGATAAGGGGAGGAAAGTGGGTGGTGGCACCCCATCCGAGAAACAAGGGTCTGGCCCAGATGGAGGAGGCTTTAGTCGGAGACCAGAGGGACATGAGATGTGGCCAAGGGGGTGAAGCTAGGTTGAAGGAGCTGTTGACTCTTAAACTGAGGAATATCTGTGCATTTTGCAAACGAGGAGCATACCTTTAACCTTTATCCCAGACCCTCACCCCCCTACTTTCATGGCCGTGGTCCCGACGGGGCTGCAGGTACAGACGTCTCTGTCTTTGGGTTCTCACACATCTCCATGGGGCGTGAGCTGTCTCCCTGGTGATGTGCAGGAGTACGGAGGCATCGGTCTGGCCTGGGGTACGGGAGGCTTACCCATGGGCTTGACCTTCCCCAGGCTGACATCAACCCATCCTGTCTCCAGACACATGGGATTCATTACCAGATCCTGCCTCTCTATGCATGGGGAAACCCATGAAGGAGTAAAAAGGAAGAACTAGACCAAACCGTGGCACAAAATAGATATACAGGTTGCACCATACTCTACGCCCGCCCCAAACCCCAAACCCTCTCAGCACCTCTCAGTTACTGTAGTGTCTTCGACAAGGCTCCATGAACGCCTCCAGCAGGCAGCCCTCTGGCGGGTGGCCACTGTGGAGCCCATCTGCAGAGGGCCTCGTACCGGAGCCACTCTTCCCCCGAACACCACGAGCACCCCCCCCTTGTGGCCATCTGGGCGGGACCCCGCTCTCAGGCTCCCTCAGCGGAAGGCCACCCCAGACATGGAGCAGCCGCTCTGCGCAGGGTGTTTGTGGGAGTTGTCGGAGTAGAGTCACCCCTACTCGGTCCCATGCATGATTCTGTATCAGTCCTTCTCAAGACCCTAAATCCATCTAGATGAAGAAAAGAAACCAACATTTGCGTGCCTCCACTGAGCCCAGTCCTGTCCTAGGCTCCTTGAATAACCTTTACTCCTCACAGCTTCGTGGATGCTTCCATCCCCTCTTAGAGCTGAGGCAGCCCAAGGGTCAGCGGGTACGGAGCTGGCCCCGGGCAAACAGCTGCCCCATTGGAAAGCTGAACTCCCAGCTGGAGTCCTTCTGATCCTAAAATAAGTGATATTTCTAGAATACACGGCTTTTCTGGGTGATTCTGACCGTGACTTGGAAGGGAAGGAATTTCAGCCACTGTGTTTATAAAGCCAGAAAACTGTTTTGAGCCAAGAACCTTCTCAGGCCCCTCATTTCAAGCCACGTAGGTGAGTGGCCAGGATCCCAAGCGTGTAAAGCCAAACAGGACGTCCAAGTCTGCCTTCTGACTCCGGGGGCGGCACCAGCGAGAGAGAGGCCCAGAAGCTGTTATGGCTTCGCTCCCCGGCAGGGGTCAGGCTGGCTCCAGCAGGAGGAGCTGGGAGGGGCTCGGTTCCCTAGCCTCCATACTATCAGCATTAGAGCAGGATAATTCTTCCTTGTAGGGGGTGACGGGGGGGCGCTCCGGTCATTTGCAGGACGTGTAGCTGCACCCCTGCCCTCTACCCACCAGATGCCAGGAGCAGCCCCTCCCACCCCAGTTGGGACAACCAAGATGCCTCCTGCCATTGCCCAATGTCTCCTGGGTGGGCAAACGGCCACCCACGGAGAACCACTGGGGTAGCGGATAACCAGATGTTGGGAGGGAGGACTCTAGCAGAAGGGCGACCCCGACTCCTGGGGATCTAGAAACTATTCAGCTGCTGAGGGCAAAATAAGAAACATACAGGCCATAGAAGACATTTAGATTAAGTGTAATGAAGACCTTCTTGACGGGGAAGGCAATGAGTCAATGAAAGTGGAGAACTGTGAAACCTCCTCAGAGATTTTTTGGGCGAGGAGAACCTTACCTGTATAAACTAAATATGAGGAGCGTAGACTACAAGAGCCTCTCGGACGGTGTTGAGTGTCCACCTTGCTTTTGACCACTGACAGTGTTCTCCTTGTAGGAACGAAAGCCAGCAGCGCCCCCATCTCAGACCTCCCTGTTGCTCCGCAGGAACAGCTCAGGGCATTGTGATCGCTACGGGAGACTCCACGGTGATGGGCCGCATTGCCTCTCTGACGTCAGGCCTGGCGGTCGGCAAGACCCCCATTGCTGTAGAGATCGAGCACTTCATCCATCTGATCACAGCGGTGGCCATCTTCTTTGGTGTCTCCTTCTTTGGGCTCTCACTGATCTTGGGCTACGGCTGGCTGGAGTCTGTCATTTTTCTCATCGGCATCATTGTGGCCAATGTGCCCGAGGGGCTGCTGGCCACCGTCACCGTGAGTGGCCAAGGTGGAGGGTGGCCTCTGGGCAGACACACCACCCCAGGGGATAAAATCGTTTGTATCTCTTTTGCTGGTGAATCTCTCAAGTGTCAACCACTTAGCTCCCACAGGACCTTGACTTCTTCCACCCATATTTTCTGGTGCCTTCTCTTTCTTTTCCATGAGTTGCAATGCGGGAAGCACTTAGATTCTGTCACCAGCAGTGAGTTACTCTGGGCTGTACCGGCCAGTGAACTTGGCCAAATCACTGAACATCTCCAGGCGTCAATTTAACTAATCATCAGTTTCTATAGGAAGATTAATTCAGAATTACAGAATCTTATTGGAAAGGACTTCAAAGCCCATAGAAATCCAACCTTTCCACCAATGCTGAATGTCTTGTGCACAATCCATGGGAGATGATGATTATTTCTAGTCCTGAGAAGTCCGCCCCTTTCAGTCTCCACTCATTTCACCACTGGGTTGCTCTAACTGGATTTCATTGTGTTGAGCAGAAATATGACTTCCTGTTTGGGCCCAGTTTTCCCATCTGAAGAAACACAAAACAAGTCATTTCTCTCTTTTCTACAAACTACGCTTTTGATTGACGGGAGCTCCCATCATGTCTCCTCAAACTCCCCGGTGGGAGGTGAAATCGTCCCTTTTCCTCTGGTTGTTGTTCACAAGACACGGTCTTCTGACCCCTTGGCTTACTGATCACCTGTTGGGGGTATGCTCTAGATTATCAATATCCTTCTTAAAATAGAAATGAGACTAATACTCAGGATGTGGTTGGTTAGCACAAAAACCTCAGGACTAGTGATAATAGGTAAATAAATCATAACCCCATGATTAGAATTCTGTATTAATATAACCATACCCTAAGAACTGACTAGTTTTTAAAACAACCCTGCCACACGCCTGACTTTCACTGAACGTATGGTCCACATAATTAATGTCAACAAAAATGACCCAGTTTAAATAATTTCTGAAGTCCTTTCCAACGGTGCAATATTCCTTCTCAACTTCATGATTCTCCCGTTTTCTTCTTTTTTTCCAACTATTCGTACCAGCCCCCTGACCCCACAATGAAAGATTAGCTATCGACATGGTCCCTGAACTTGACTGGAAAGGGGTTGCTGGACAGAAAAGACGAAAGGATCCTGGGGGAGCCGAGTATTCCAGGGGACAAGGTCACACACTATGTTCCCCTGGTGAAGGAAGATACGCTTTTTTCCGAGCTGTGCCGTGAAGCACGAACACCATCCCTCTCCTGATTTCCTTCCTGTGGCCGGAGGTGGAATCGCTAAAGACTAGGTGGAGACAAAACGGAAAGAAGTTCCTAAAATTACCATAGCAATACAAACGATCCGATTTCCAAAACACAAAGTGGTGTGAGCAGCCGAGCACTTCGTTGCCATTAATTCTCGGCCCTCTTCATGGCCTTAGGTGTGTCTGACCCTGACCGCCAAGCGCATGGCACAGAAGAACTGCCTGGTGAAGAATCTGGAGGCGGTGGAGACACTGGGCTCCACCTCCACCATCTGCTCCGACAAGACGGGCACCCTCACCCAGAACCGCATGACCGTCGCCCACATATGGTTCGACAAGACCATATACAAGGCTGACACCAGCGAAGAGCAGACTGCTGACTTGAGTGGTATGGGTGAGCCACGCGTGGAGGGGCCGGGGGCGGGGCGCGGACGCGGGAGACGGCTGGGCCCTGAGTGCAGACGAGGGTTGTCTCTGTCAAGTGCTGGGGGACAGAGCGGGATGCGAGTAAGTTCCTGCTTTAAACTCCCCACCCCCCATCCTGCTCACAGCCTCTCCTTCTCCCTAGGGAAAACATTTGCCAAGGGCTCTGCGACCTGGTTCATCCTGGCCCGAATCGCAGGCCTCTGCAACCGAGCTGACTTCAAGGCTCACCAGGAGACCCTTCCCATTGCTAAGGTATCAGGCCTGCGGTGGGGGGGGAAGATAATGCCTCGGTGTCGAGGGCATGCCCCGCCCCCTCCCCAGAAATCTCTATCCTGGTGCTTAGGGTCCTCCCCATTGCACCCCTCGCCCTGTGCCGTACCCCTCGGGCTCACCCTACAAACCCCGTCCTGGCAGCGGGCAACAACAGGTGATGCTTCCGAGTCAGCCCTCCTCAAGTTCATCGAGCAGACATACAGCTCTGTGAAGGAGATGAGAGAGAAAAACCCCAAGGTGGCAGAGATCCCCTTTAATTCCACCAACAAGTACCAGGTACAGAACACACAAGGGTAGAATGGTGGTCGGGGGTGGGCTCGTCATTTGGGGAAATGGGAGCTTTGCCTTCGCCTTCAGCCTCCCCTCTGAACAACAGAATGGAGACGGTGGATACCCAGCAACCCCATTAAGAGGAAGGCTCACCTCAGGGGAAAGTGACCAGCAGGGAAAGGGAGGAGCAGGTGGTAAAGGAAGAGGCGTTCGACCCCAAGCAGAGAGTGAGGCTCCGTCACTTGTGGAGAGAGCAAGTGGGAAGTGTCCTGCGGGTAGGACAGGCTGCTCGGTGACACTCACGGTAGAGCCTGGTGCAGCCCTGGGAGGCATCTCTGTGGTTCCTGCAAGGTTTGCCCCTGCAGGATAAGGCTGGGTTTGCAAGGCACTCCCCGGAAGCTCCTGCTTGCTTTCCGCACCTGGATTCTAGTACCTGCCATCAGGTAGGTGGCGGGGCGGGCGCTCCAGCACATTTGTGAAGGTTTTAGTCTCTCAGGGGCATTTTGCCCGCTACCCAGGGAGGCGTGACAAGGGAAAGAGATACTCGGGCTGAGGCACAGTGGTGGGGCACTAACCCCGAGGTGCAGGGGACAGCCAGCAAAGCCAGTGGGACCCTCCCACGTGAGGTCCTGCACAGGATAGTCACGGTTTGCTCAGGGGAGGGGAATTCTCCAAGTTCATGGGCTACCATGAAGGTCAGACGTTCAGGTGTGGGTGACAGAGAAGAAACGAGCCTCCCAAAAAGTCAGTTTTGTTTTCCTGTCTTAGAAACCACAGAAGAGTGCTTGCTTTAGCAGCTCTGGTACTAACATCAGAACAAAACACAGAAGGTTAGCAAGGCCTGTGCACAGGCGAACTCATCAAGTGTTGTATTTGGAAGTTGCTAAGAGTAGTAGATCCCCCAAATTTTCCTCACAAGGGAAAAAAAATCATAACTAAAAAAACAATAATAAAATAACAAAAGCTATATAGAGTTTTGAGTTTTTAAAGCCTATTTGCCTATCTTTTTATATTGAATACTGAACAAGTAAGAGTTAAAGAAATAGATCCCGAGTTTTTTTGTCTCAGCCGACTTTCGGTCCGTGTAATAAGATAGGTCTCCTAAGCCCACACTGCAAACTTATTTCTACTTTTTTTTCTGACGTTCAGTGGCCTCACAACCCAGACAAGAATTCTGTGCTTGGCAGGACCGGATTAAAGCCTGTGCCTGCAAAGAAGTAGATACTTCTTCCTTCATGTGATTTAAAATAAAAGCAAAACATATCCATGACATTTGTTGGGATGGCCAACAAAATAGCAACTTTCCCCAAAACAACTAGGTTAGTGTGTTTTCTGAGTTTCACGAGCAAAGGGCACGATCCTCCTCCGTGGCGCCCCCACCAGGTGAGCTCGGCCAGCCGGGCGCTCTGCGAGGCTGTCCCAGCACTCTGTCACCTGCAGGCTTCATCTCTTCCTTGCTTTCAGACTGAAATGAAAGGAAGGGTCTCTGTCCTGATATTCCCAGATTTCTCCCACTTTTTTTAAAAAAGATTTTATTTATTCATTTGACAAGGAGAGGGAGAAAGCACAAGCGGGGGAGCGGCAGGGAGAGGGAGAGGGAGAAGCAGGCTTCCCACTGAGCAGGGAGCCCAACCCCAGGACCCTGGGATCATGACCTGAGCCAAAGGCAGACGCTTAACGACTGAGCCACCCAGGCGCCCCCTCCCACCTTTTTATCTGTAATTTTCTATCAAGATGTGATTTTTTTTGTGACCAAGTTACTGACTTATAAGTAGGTCTTGCTGCCACCTCCGATAATCTCCAGTAAATAGGGAACAAATACGTATTAAGTACTCAGGAAATCAAGCTTTTTAAACCTCTTACAGCTTTCTGCTTCAACAAGTTAAGATTTTTCCTCTTAACTGCTTAGGCATATTTTGAATATAACTGAGAGTTATAGGAAATATTTGAATGTTTCTCATGGGACGGTTTTAACAGCACTTTACACACAGGCTTCCCACCTTGGTTACCCTCTGGGCAGTGTGGTCTGGCCCCCTCTGCACCTGCTCCTTTCGAGTTGCTGGTTTGGTGACCAAACAGGCTTCATAACGGGAAGTTCCTGGCTCGAAGAGGAACCCTGTCACAGTTCCTGCTCACAGATCAGGGATCAGGGAAAATGCAAAACCGAAATGCATCTCATTCCTCTCTCCTCCTGGCCTCTGGTCTCCTGAGATTCACTGTGAATCTGGCCTTCCCGGTCCCCAGCCCACCAGACCGACCCTGACCCCGACCCCAGCCCCAACCCCACCACTAGCCCCTGGCACTTCTCAGACTGTTGGGAGAGTGGCAAAGGGATTACGATGACGTAATCTGGATTGTGCTTCGTAGTTTTCAAAGTACTTTTTAACAACTAATCTGACCCTCAAACAGCATGGCGTGAACCTTGTAGGTCCAGTTAAACACCGATGTTTTTCGATAAACACAGTACAGTCAGTGGATTTTCTCTTCCTTGTGATTTTTCTTAACATTTTCTTTTCTCGAGCTCACTTTACTGTAAGAACACAGCATATAATACACAGAACATACAGAGTATGTGTTAATTGACTGTTAATGATAATATTGGTAAGGTTTCGGGTCACCAGCAAACTGTATTAGTAGTTAGGTTTCGGGGGAGTCAAAAGATATACGAGGATTTTTGACCGTATTGTGTCCCATAAAAACCCAATGAAGTTGGAAACACAGAATCTTTTGCATCGTATCAAAGAAAACTAAGGTTTTGAGAGGTTCAGTGGATTGACCTGAGGTCACAAAGCCTTCCTGCTGGGAGGACACAGGCCTGTGGCCCCTACCTTCTTTTCCCGTCCACCCTGCTGCCTCCAACCGGCCCACACGTCTGCTTTCCAGGCAGAGAGGAAGCAGAGAAAGTGAGAGCCCTGCTTGTGCTCTCAGCTCCTGCAGAGATAGCCTGGATTCCTGTGCAGACAACAGCGGGCTGGGGTCCCTGGGCAGGAGGGGGGGTGGGCTTGACCCCGGGTCAGATTTGCCTGGAGGGAGGGGGCTGCACTGGGGTTAGGAGACAAAGGAAGTGGGGAGGGGGATATGAAATGGGTTGTCTGTTTTTTACCCTCAAAAACCTTTCCCCATGGGAGCGCCTGGGTGGCTCAGTCGTTAAGCGTCTGCCTTTGGCTCAGGTCATGGTCCCGGGGTCCTGGGATCGAGCCCCGCATCGGGCTCCCTGCTCGGCAGGAAGCCTGCTTCTCCCTCTCCCACTCCCTCTGCTTGTGTTCCCTCTCTCTGTCAAAATAAATACATAAAATCTTAAAAAAAAAAAAAAAAAAACCTTTCCCCTGTTTTTCTGCCCCAACCCTTTCTCCCTCCTCCTGCCGCAAGGATTCTTCCTCTCTCCTCCCCAGATGTCCATCCACCTGCAGGATGACAGCAACCAGACCCACGTACTGATGATGAAGGGGGCCCCGGAGAGGATCTTAGAGTTTTGCTCTTCTTACCTTCTGAAGGGGGTGGAGTACCCCATGGACGATGAGATGAGGAAAGACTTCCAGAAAGCCTACATGGAACTGGGAGGCCTGGGGGAACGCGTGCTAGGTGAGGGGCTTCAGAAGAAACCCAGAAAGAATGACACCCAAATGGTTATTTGTGGGGTGAAATTTCGAAGATGTTGGGGTGAGCGAGACAGGGACGTAGGCCGCTGAATGACTACTGGTCCCTCTGTCTCTCCCCAGGGTTCTGCTTCTTGAATCTGCCTAGCACTTTCTCCAAAGGATTCAAGTTTAATACAGATGAAATCAACTTTCCCATGGATAACCTTTGTTTTGTGGGGCTTGTATCCATGATTGACCCCCCCAGAGCTGCAGTGCCTGATGCTGTCAGCAAGTGTCGTAGTGCAGGGATTAAGGTAAACTCCTGACCGTATCCCAGAAGCCCCCCAACCTGTCACAACTTGGAGCAACAGTAGAAAGCCTTGCCTAGAGTAGGTTCTTCATCATCTTGGTTTAATTCATGTCTGTTTCCTTGAGCTTACGATTTTTAGTCTTAAGAGACTACCTAATAGGAAATAGTAAGTTTCTTCTGTAGTTAGAATCCTGTCTCGCGTTGAACATTAGAATCACCAGGGGACCTTTAAAAGTCTGATGCCTAGGACCGCCCCCCCCCACCCCCCGCCCCAGTAGGCTCAGGCGGTAAAGCATGCGACTCTTGATCTCGGGGTTGTGAGTTCAAGCCCCACACTGGGTATAGAAATTACTTAAATAAATAAATAAACTTAAAACAAAATCTGATGCTTAGGCCACACCCCACACCCATTAAATTGGAAACTCTCAGGGCAGGGTGCAGACATCTGTAACTCTTCAAACTTTCTTTTTTTAAGATTTTTATTTATTGATTTTTCATTTGAGAGAGAGAGAGAGCACAAGCAGGGGGGAGGGGCAGAGGGAGAGGGAGAAGCAGACTCCCCACTGAGCAGGGAGCCCAATGCAGGGCTCGATCCCAGGACGCAGAGATCATGACCCGAGCCGAAGGCAGACGCTTAACCAACTGAGCCACCAGGTGCCCCCTTTCTTAAAACTTTCTTAGAGATTTCACTAGGCAGGTAAGTTTGAGAACCAGTGTCCTAGGGTTGTGCATGTGACTCATCGAGGGGTTTTGTCGGAATGCAAAATCTTGATTCTGCAGGTCTAAGACCCTGAGATTCTGCATTTGTAACAAGCTCCCAGGTGATGCCGTTGCCGCTGGTCTGCACACCACAACAGGAGTAGCAAAGGGCTAGAAGATGTCAGGGAAAGGTGCTCCTGGGAAGGGGCCGGGGGCTGGAGTGGATGACAGAGAGGCTGAGCCACGGAGAGCTGAATCCTGGTTGCACCTGACTCGGGGCGAACAGCTACACCAACAGGCACTCGTCCAGGAGTCAAAGCTAGAAACCAAAAAGAGTGAAACACAGTTGCAGAACACACTCCCAGAGGTGGGAACTCCTCCTTGGCCGGGGGGCTCGGACTGCATGGGATTCCTCTAGTTCTGAGACATTCTGTACCCCGCTTCCAGGTCAGATTCTAAGACTCACCTACACCCTCACAGGTCAAAGACTGACACCTTTCCGGCTCATGCCTGATATTCTGGATCCCAGGCCTGGGGGAGAACAGGTTGGAGGGTGGGGGGCGCTGGAGGTATCTAGGGAGAACGAGATGCTATCTGTTGGAGCTGGCTGTATCTTAGACCTTTGACTGTCGGCAGTTTGGGGGCAGCTGGGTCATGCCAAGTTCAATGATTGTGGCTGGAGTGAGAACCAAGGAACAGATGGAGGAACTATTCTGAGTGAGTTCCTTAATCACCACACGCTGTTTGGGCGGTCGGTTCTCTGCAGAAGCAGCACGTCTGCATCTGCATAGGATAGCCAACGTCTCGACCTCCCCCAGCTCTCGAAGCCCCCACACCACATCATAGGAGCTAGCTGGAGAAGGGCCCATTTGACTTTCCTGAGCATTGAGGTGGCTGTTGGAATGGGGAATTATACTGGGGATGTGAAATGCATCTCATCTGGGGATTTGTGGGGGTCCCTTATAGCAAGAAGAAGAGACTTACAATTGCACCCGAGGTGGGGAGGCCCGAACGGGGCCGAAGGGCTGAGTTAGCCTGGGTGTCGTGACTGCCCGAGGCAGGCGAGTCCGAGGCTGGCTGCCGAAGCAGGAGGCCCGGGGGCTTTCTGGGCCAGTCCGTGTTCTGGGCATGGGCTTACAGTTCGCATTATCATTTCTCACTTCTTCTGGACCCGAAGCTGGCAGAACTTTGGCAGGCTCGGTGAGAAATTCTGAATCAGCCCCCTTTCCCTATAGGGGAGTGTAAAACACACGCATGATGCCATCCTTCGAAGAAGACAAATGTGATAGACATAGGCGGGTGGGTTGTCGCGTAGGGTAGACCCTTCCAGGGCCAATACCAAAGTGGCCTTGATGCGGAGCTGATCGGAGAGCCCTGGGGTCACAGGGCAGCAAAGTTCTTACAAGGAGATGATCGCAGGGCTGGTACTTCCCAGGTAGAGCCAAGTATCCATTATATTTGCCACTCACTGAGGCTGTGGGGGCCGTGAAGGTGTTTGGGCCTCACCGTGAACCTGGCCTCCTCCAAGAACCGCAGTCTGGCCGTGAGGCCTACACCGGTGTCACCAACACCGGACTCCGTCTCTCAGATGGGCCCCACACGGGAAGAGAAGGGACGAGGGAACAAGGGGGCAGCTCGCAAGACTACGTGGGAACAGCAGAGGTACGCTCAGCACCCACAAGCTGGAAATGAGATCCCTTCAGTCCCTGATGAATCCCAGAAACCAGGAGATGTCCTTTACCTCAAAGGGAGCCACTCTGCAGGACTGCAGACTGCGTCTGTTGTGCGTGTGCACCTCGGTGCGCTGCGAAATTGCATCCTGGGGACTTGGGGCGGGCGGGGGAGATTGTGTTTTTCTTTCTCCAGCCTGGCCTGGAGGTGGGACTGCCGGAAACTACTACGGAACAGCGCCTTTGAGCAGTCAGACCGGGCAGGTGCTTGGGGTGGGGGGGTGGGGGTATCAGGATGACGGCGCACCTGCCCTCTAGGCGCCCCCCGCCCCGGTCACCACGGATGAGCCCCTGCGGGGCTGTCCAGGTGCGGGGAGCCTGAAGGGCAGCACGGAGGGCTCGGTCTGCGTCACACCGGGAACTTTGTAAGCTCGCATGCAGTTCCCTCCCAGACCCTCCCCGGGTACCCCACGGGCCGCGTTGGTGAGATGGGGACACTCGCCGTCCGTGCTGTGGGTACAGCGGCCCGTGCTGCATCTCTGGTGGCCACACGGACTTCTGCGTTACCACCTCCCTCCAGGAAGCCGGGCTTGGAGTCCCGCTGCTCTCAGGCCAGCGCACAACGAGGCGGGCTCTGGGAAACACTCCCTGCAGGCTTGTTTCCATGCTCTGAAAGCAAACAGACGGACCTTTCCAGGACCTTCCCAGGACAGTTCAGTCACAGCCTCGCAGCTGCCTTTCCCTCCATCGGAGCCAGGGAAAGCCGTGCACCCGGAGGGCACTCGGGAGCCTGGGGCCATGATTCTCAAGAAGCGGTCATTCTTTCATTTCTGCATCTGATGGCTGTTTGTGGAACGACGGCTATGTGCTAGGCTTTGCGCAAGAGCAAAGCTTCACAGGGAGCCTGGACACGGCCCATTCTTGCAGAGCACTCGGGCCAGCAGACAGAGACAAGCCCTCCCCATCCGGAGCAGGAGGAGTGCTGACACACAGAAGGAACAGAATGCTGGGACAGCCTGGAGCCAGGCACCTGACCTTTGGGGAGCCAGGGGACAGGGCATCAGCGAAAGGGCTGGAACCCAGGGGAGGCCACAGGGGGAAGGTAAGGAACAGTGAGGGTCAGAACGCACCTGGGCCTAGAGGATATTTTGCTAGGCAGATGGATTATTCCAGAGGTCCCTTTATTACCATTTGTTCTATGTGTAGGTGTTTGTCTTTTGAGCTTAAAGAAACAGAACAGCTTCTGGAACAATTCAGTGAAAATCGGAATATAGTAATACACCCAAATCCCCAATTTATGCCCGGGAAATCTAGAACCCAAACAGTTCTATGTGTTATGGTCTGGTGGTCCTGACCCAGTCCCAGGGGATGAAGCCACCGTAGCAGAAGTCCTTGGGGACTACTACGAATAGCCCTGTGGAATGAAGGTAGTGATCCGTTAGGTCCTGGAGAGAAAGACAAAGTGTCCAGGAACCCCTGAAGATGATTCTGCTCCCCTTCCTTCCCTTCCCGACCCAGGTGATCATGGTGACCGGGGACCACCCCATCACAGCCAAGGCCATCGCCAAAGGTGTGGGCATTATATCAGAAGGCAACGAGACAGCAGAGGACATGGCTGCGCAGCTCCAGGTCCCTATCAGCCAGATCAACACCAGGTGGGGCCCCTAAAGAACTCAGATCTGCCGTGTTTCCCCTCCATCCTCAGCCGCCCCACCCTGACCCCCCTCGCTACAGTTCCCGGAGGCTCCTGTAGTAGGTAGGATGTGTAGGGTTTACTTATTGCAAAGTAAGATGTAATAGGAAAACGACCCAGTGACTATGCCAGTGGGTTTTCAGAGGAAGTGGGTGGAAGGACGCAGAGCAAAGGGAGGAGCAGGTGGGAGGCGGGGAGGGGTGCAGCGTGTCCGTCCGGGGACCGTGGGTGGCTGGGGACAAGCGAGGAGCCGGGCTGAAGGCAGAAACAGGAGGGTATGGCGGAGGCTGGACAGAGGCACTGGGACCTCTAGGGAACTCCGAGCGCTCTGCAGTGGCTTTTGACCTCCTTCCCTCAGGGAAGCCAAGGCGTGCGTGGTGCACGGCTCTGACCTGAAGGACATGACGGCGGAGCAGCTGGACGAGATCCTCAAGAACCACACGGAGATCGTGTTCGCGCGGACGTCCCCGCAGCAGAAGCTCATCATCGTGGAGGGCTGTCAGAGGCTGGTGAGGGGACGGGGGCAACTTGGGGGGCCCGGCCCAGCTCTGCCCCAAACCTCCTCGGGCTGGCGGAGGCGGGGGACTCCAAAGAGCACCCTGTCTCAAGCCCCGAGACGGGCTTCAGCTGGGGGCCCCCCGAGAGTTTTCACATCGCAGCACGAGCAGGAGAAGAAAGGGCCAAGCACAAGGACTTTAAGAAACAAGGGATGATGGGATCAGAGTGACCTCTGGCACCGGTCTCGATCCAACACAGTGATGACTTCACTCCTTCTGTGCTTCGTCCAGGGGGCCATTGTGGCGGTGACCGGGGACGGCGTGAACGACTCCCCCGCGCTGAAGAAGGCTGACATTGGCATCGCCATGGGCATCACGGGCTCCGACGTGTCGAAGCAGGCCGCCAACATGATCCTGCTGGACGACAACTTTGCCTCCATCGTCACAGGCGTGGAGGAGGGTGAGGGGGCAGGGTGCCCGTCAACTCAGGTGACAGTCAGGCGGGAGCTGGTGTGCGTTCTATCATTCCCTTTGCCCATCATTCCACCTCCGTGATCCTGTACAGACTGGGAATAATCAGTGTAAGACAAAATTCTGTAAATTAGACTCGGCCGTAGTTGGAACATCACTGCCAGGAGCCCTTTTGTATGAGGTGGAAGGCAAGTGCAGATTTGTGAAGGAGACGGGGACTCTGGTCTAGCAGAGTATCCCCTGGGCCCTCACACACATTCCAGTGGGTCTGCAGCAGGTTCCAGGATGTAACCCTTCCCTGGGACGACTCCATCCGCCACAATCTCCGGGGGCCCCAGGAACCTGTTGCCTGAATGATGTTGATACAATGAGATCAGCTGGAGGCTGATCTAGGAACTGACTGCATGAGCCGAATCAAGCGCCCACTTTCCCAGAGAGTTCTGAAGACCACACCTACTGGTGAGCAGGAGAGCCCCAGAATCCTGCTTCCTGGGCTCCCTGCTTTCTGCCTGCAGTCATCTTGCTGAACCCTATGACAAGCCACATAAGAATAATAGTTATACTGTTTTACTGAGACCTAGTATGATCCTGACACTTTGCTCAGTATTTGGTATCCATTCAATTCAATTCATTTTTTGAGCACCAACCACGTACCAGGCTCTATTCCAGATCCTGGGATGTAACAATGGGAAATAAAAAGACACAAATCCCTGCCCTCACGCTCCTTAATTTCTAGCGGAGCAAGACAGACAGCAAAATAAATTGCATAGTATATTACAAGGAGATCAGTGCAATGGGGCTGGGGTTACAGTTTTTGAAAGGGTCGTCAAGGAAAGACTCAAGCCATCTTGCAAGGGAGGAGGAATGAGGCTTGGGGAGGTGCCCAGCGTCACAAGCTGTTGCGGCAGAGAATGGGATTGGAACCCAAGTCCGGACTCTCTCCACTTCAGCCTTCAACCTCTAATGGCTTTTATGTTGGCGTTCTCAGACATCGCCAAGTACCAGCCCGGCCCAGCCCTACTTCATTCTCAGGGATCAGGTGCTATTGGCCCCACGGAATCCATGAACAAGGAGGGCTCAGACATGGCGGGCTAATAGAGCACGGCTCTACTGAAGAGTCACGTGATTCGGGAGCAAAGCTGGGAGCGAGGACTGGGTCGAGGTCTCGGACCTCCAGACCCTTCCACGGGCTGTGACTCTGCTTTATAGTATTCTCTGTCCAGGAGCCAGTGTGTGGGTGGTGTCCTCTTTGCGTTTCTCACAGAAGAGTGGCCTTCCTCCCCCAGGCCGCCTCATCTTCGACAACCTGAAGAAATCCATCGCGTACACCCTGACCAGCAACATCCCCGAGATCACCCCCTTCCTGCTCTTCATCATCGCCAACATCCCCCTGCCTCTGGGCACCATAACCATCCTCTGTATCGACCTGGGCACTGACATGGTGAGCCCCAAACTGGGACCCTGCTCGCAGAGCTGCCACGAGAGGACTGGGGAGCAGGAAAAGTCTGTGTCCAGGGGGAGGGACAGAGCTCGCCCGAGTTACTTCTGTGTTTCCTTCTGAACTTGGTGTCCCTTGTCACCCCCACCCTCCATCCTCCAGGTCCCGGCCATCTCCTTGGCTTACGAGTCAGCTGAAAGTGACATCATGAAGAGGGCCCCACGGAATCCAAGGAGCGATAATCTGGTGAACCACCGCCTCATCGGCATGGCCTATGGACAGATTGGTGCGGCCAGAGGCACGGGGGGCTGGGGTGTGGGGAGGGGCTGCACCTGCCAGGCCATTGGAGTCAGGGAGATATTTTCATGACGACAAACTCGGTGCTGGGCCCCCGGAACACAAAGAGCCACTGATATGTGATCTGCCCTTGACTTAAGAGTCCAGCCAAGAAGGAACAGATATACATAAAATGATAGCATCTTTCCCAGTGCTGAGAAATGAGTGCGTACAGGACGTGCGGGAGGAGAACAGAGCAGGGGGCTCGGGAGCCAGGAGGACAGTCAGGGAGGCCGTGTGGAGGGAACAGGACTTGCACCTGGTACTGGAAGATCGCAGATGTACGGTCAGCCAGAGGAGGGCAACTCACATGCCTGCTTGCAGAAGAGCAAATAACCAGTTTGGGGGGCCCTTGCTCCTGAGAAAGGAGCAGGAGAGGATGAGACTATGGATACAGGTAACATTTACCCCGGGCCAGCCTGGAAAGACACTGGAAAGCTGTTAGAAGTCTTTGCTCTCGAATTGCCGGTGCAGTGTTTCAGGGAGCAGGTGAGGGACGGACAGGGGAGATCACCCCAATATCTAGAGAAGGAAACATATAGAAAAAGCACAGACTCAGGAGCCAGACCTATGTTTGAATCCCAGTTTCACCACTTACTACCTGTATGACCTTGGATGACGACTGAATCTTTGTCGTGCTTGTTTTCCCATCTCTCGAAGGTAAATAGTAGCTTATAATTGTCGTGAGGATCGACTTGGTGCGCAGCTCAGCAGTTGGTAGGCAAACGCTGGTGTCCACCACCGCATGGCTAGGCTTGGAGGCAGAGGTGTCGACTAAGGGACAGGCAAGGGGCAGGGGGGAGGTGCGAGGAGAGGACAGGACCTGATGAGGGTCCGCATGTAAGAGAAAGTGGACCCAGAAGAGTCCAGCGCTCGCTCAGGGAAAGAGGGAATAAATCCTCTCCAGGGTCCTTTCAGTTTTGATTATGCGACTCAGAGATGACTCTGGGTTAGAGCTCCGAAAGAAATGTCAGGGCTTGGAGACAAATCCTACAGAGATGAAGGGATCAGGTCGCTGATGGCAAGCACCTTCAGCACTAAAAGCTCAGACACACACCAGCCCAGCTAGAACCCGGCCACAACCCCTTCCATGGTCTGCCTTTTAAGGTCCTTCTCTGAACCACGCTCTTCTGTCCTGTGACTGTCATCCACAGGGATGATCCAGGCTCTGGCTGGATTCTTCACCTACTTTGTGATCCTGGCCGAGAACGGTTTCAAGCCTATTGACCTGCTAGGCATCCGCCTCAACTGGGAGGACCGGTTCTTCAATGACCTGGAGGACAGCTACGGACAGCAGTGGGTGAGTTGAAGAGGTAGCGCCTGAGACAGTGACCAGTAAGGGTGAAGAAGGGACAGGGAAGAGTGGAGAATACTGGAGAAGAGATGATACCTCATCTCCAGTCCTACGTGACCTCAATCTCCCATCACGTCGGCAAATACTCTTCAAATGAAGACTTTTCAAATGATGACTTCATTTCTGCTCATTCCTACTGTCTGTCACCTGTCCTTACCTTGCTGGATCTTTCAGCTTCCTTGGACCTGGAGGTCTTCCTCATCATGTCAACTTTTGGGGGCTGATTTCTGTGTTTCCAGGTTCTAGGCATCATTGCCCCAAAAGTGAGTGCTGGGTCTTCTCTCTCTCTCTTCTCTCTACCTTCTAAATACCTCTTGCCATTAATTCCACTGATGACCACTCATTCATTCATGAAGCATCTTCTAGGTACCAGATACTCTTCTCTCTGTTTCACTCCCTCCCTCCATGGGAGTTCAAAAATTATGACTTCAAGTCTGAAAATCTATGTGCTTTGTATCTCCCTTTCTCACCTTTCTAAACTTGTTAAACTTAGAGGATGCCTCTCTCTGGTAGTCTTTCGTAAAACCCAAGATGATTGAGGTTCAAACTGAAGCCCTCTAGCCAACAGGACGTATTCAAGAATTTTAATGAGTATGCTTTTTCCTACCTGTGAACATGCCTGTCCTAATTTCTAAAACAGTGGGCGATGTGACACCAATTATTGCTAGAATCGTAGGACCACAGAGGATGCAAAGTCTATAGAAGACGCGTGGTCTGTTATCATCACTCTGTAAACAAGGAAACTGAATCTAGAAAGATTTTGCGGCCTGTGCCAAGTCCCACAGGGCATCCCTAGAGCTTCACGGGAGCTCTGCACTGGTTCCTGCCCAACACCTCCGCCTTCACCATGATGCCTCCAAACCAAGCTAACTGTAGGTTTCTCAAAAGTCTGTTAGAATCCTGGTTGTTGGAAAGGTGCCCCTTGTACACACTTGGCTTCCCCTAGCCGAGCCCCATGAAGTCATCAGGGGTCAATCTTCCCAGCCACCAACAACGCTCCAGGGTCCAATGATGCCCAAAGTCATTACATTGTCAGCATTTCCTCGATCCTCAACTCCAGCCTTTATTAGTTTTATATCTTGATACCATCTCCCTGCTGCCAGGACGCAGCTTAACATATATTTATTTGTAATAAATTAGAGGTAATTAAAATTAATTTGAAGTAACACCAGATTACATCAAAGACATCTTGAGGTATTGCAGAATGGGTTGAGAACAATCGCCCTGAGGAATAAAGTTCATAAAGGCAGGGTCTATGCCTCTTCCATTGCCGTAAAATTCAGGTAATCGCATACAGAGCCACCCCACCCACCCCACCCCTGCCCACAGACTGCTAGAAGCAGGGAGAGCTCTCTACCTTCTAAATACCTCTCACCATTAATTCCACTGATCACCACTCATTCATTCATGAAGCATCTTCTAGGTACCAGATACTCTTCTGGCCCTGGGGGTCTGGTAGTGAACAAATATGGTCAAGTTATTGCTCTTGTGGACTTTATATTCCAGTGAGGGGCAGGGGGTGGGAGGGGAGACAACAACCAAATATGTAACCTACAGAGTCAATGGAACTTAACTCCAAGTAGAGTCTAGGAAGTGTTGGACTTGAGACACCAGAGTGGGCGGGATGGAGAGATCCAAGTGGTGGTCAGAGAGAAAGAGATGCTTGAAATGGAAATCACAAGAGAAACTAGCTATTGGCAAGGACAGATCCGGGTGTGACATGGACGCCAGCAACCCAGGTGGGGAGTGGAGGGCCACACCTCTGGAGAGGGAGACCAAGGGACGCTGAGACCGTGGTGGTGGAAGGATCATCCACATGGATGTTTGAATCCCCAGAATCCAGGACAGGAGCAGGCCTAGTCAGGGCGTCAGAGCTAAAATCTGCCAGCGACCACAGAGCACTGGGGTGCTGGTGGCTGGCCACATGCACGACGGTGGCGGCAGTGGCGGGGGCGACCTAACATCACAAACGGGCCCATGGCACTCGCTCCCCGCGCAGCACGGGGCTCATCAACTTCCAGCCTTCGTGTTCCAATCACTTGAGGCATCATTTTCCCTCCAAGTGCCACAGCCCATGAGGCTCAATACACAGTATCTTGTCGTCCGTCCTCCACATTCTCAAATTCTTTATTCAATCTACCAGCTAAAACCATGATGTTTCCATCATTGAAACATGGCCTTTTTTCCTCCGGTCTAAGGGAGATGCGTCTCTTCTCTGTTCCCAAAGTCCTCTCTGACCTCTCTCCTATGACGCTGGCTGGCCAGCCTACTTATCTTCCCCACTAGACTTAGGTTCCTTATGTGGAAACTACTGATGCAAAGAAGACCCAATGGGTGAATGAGCGCTCCTCTCTGGTGCCGCCCCCCTGGGCCTTCCCTTCTCCGCGGTGGGATGGAGAGATCCATCCCCTTCGGAGCTCTTTCCTCTGACTCTGCTCTCTGAGTCTGCCTTCCCCCTCACACCACCCTTCTTGTTCACCTGCTGAATACTTTGGAGCCGTACACCTGCCACCCCCTGAACTAAGCATGGGAGGGCAGCGCCAAGGTCAGTGAGACAGGTGCTTGCCCTTGAGTTGCTCTCGGTGGGTCAGGAAAACATGTCAACCACTCACAACCCAACACGGGAAGTGCTGAGACGAGATGGTGGGAAGTGTGGGGGCCTAAGACCTAACTCGGCCTTGGGGTCCAGGACGGCGGGAGAGGGAAGAAGCCGACGAGGTAGATCTGGATCCCTTCTGACACGGTCGGTCTCCACTCTGCCCGCCCCCGCAGACCTACGAGCAGCGGAAGGTGCTGGAGTTCACCTGCCACACGGCCTTCTTTGTCAGCATTGTGATCGCGCAGTGGGCCGACCTCATCATCTGCAAGACCCGGCACAACTCAGTCTTCCACCAGGGCATGAAGTGAGCGCCTTCCCCTCCCCCGCCCGCCCTCCCCTCACACCTGCACACGGGGCGCCGGCTCCCCTACCTCTCCCTCCCTTTCTCCAGCTCACCCTTCAACATTTCTTCCCAGAAACAAGATCCTAATATTTGGGATCATGGAGGAGACCTTCCTGGCTGCTTTTCTGTCCTACACTCCAGGCATGGACACGGCCCTGCGGATGTACCCACTCAAGTGAGTAAGGGAAGGGACACAGGCTGGGGGTCTCCGGCACGGGGAGAGCCTGGGAGGGGAAGCTGCGTGTCTGAACAGGGAAGCCGCAAGCTGGGGGCTGCCTGGATGGACATGGCTACCCTCAGTGATACAAGGAGAACCGTCTACACTCCCACAAACACATCTTATTTAGGGAGGGACTGGGGCCTGTGCCAAGTGATGGCACCCCGTGAGACATGCAAATTTAGCAGACTTACCCGCAATCAACACAGGGGCATCTTTTTTATGGTGATGTGCGGCGGTAGCTGTTCAAAGATACAAATTGCTTCGAGCAGAAGAAAACATAAAAATAGCCTAATCTACGCATGGCTAATTCTGTTGTACTTAGGCAAACATGTTCAAGGTGCATATGTGAGTGGGCGTGCAGGAATCCTACTGTCTGGTATCTTGTTTTGTTCAAAACAGGCCCATGTTTTTGTTTTTTGGTTTGTATTGTTTTTTACATTAGTATATCCTTGTTGTGAAAAAATTTACAAGGAGGGGCTCCCGGGTGGCTCACTCTGGTGAATGTCTGACTCTTGGTTTCAGCTCAGCTCATGATCTCAGGGTCTTGAGATCAAGCCCCTTGGGGCTCTGTGCTCAGCGGGCAGTCTGCTTCCCCTCTCTGTCCCTCTCCCAGTCCCCCAACCCGTTTGCACGAGGACAAGCGCTCTCTCTAAAATAAATAAATAAATCTTAAAAAAAAAAAAAAGAAAGGAAAGAAAATTTTACAGGGAGTAAAGCAAAACTGCCATGCCACCCCTTTTCATCACCCCACCTGCAGAGGCCGTCTATTAATGACCTAGCGTGTGCGCTTCCAGCTCGTCCGCTATGAATTCACACACCTCGCTCACGTTTCTGTCCCTTGCACTGTTTTACAAAATGCTTTGTATACTGTCGGTGCCCAATTAATGTTTAATAACAGACACTGGCACTGCCCTTAGATACTGACAGGGCCAGGTTCCCATTTCAACTCTGCTGTGTATTACTCTGGACAGTGTGTAAGCAGTACCTGCGGTCTCCCTCATACACACCGGGCGGACCGTTGTGAGAATTACACGCGGAGATGCTACAGTGCACCCGGCACGGTTGCGTGGGTCACGGTGGGAGCTTTTTTTTTTTTTTTTTTTAAATATTTTATTTATTTGAGAGAGAGAATGAGAGAAAGAGAGCACATGAGAGGAGGGAGGGTCAGAGGGAGAAGCAGACTCCCTGCTGAGCAGGGAGCCTGATGCGGGACTCGATCCCGGGACTCCAGGATCATGACCTGAGCTGAAGGCAGTCGCTTAACCAACTGAGCCACCCAGGCACCCCATGGTGGGAGCTTTGGTCACAGTAGCTTGATCCCGTTGCTCTCGATGTCAGCATACGAGTCATAGTCGATGCAGTGGACCATTAGCTGTGCTCCCAAACATTCTGTATATCCTACCCCGACCGTAACACGTGTCACCTAACACTCTACTCCAGTTGTTTTGCTCCCTTCGTCTCCCTGGCCACCTGAGCTCCTCGAGATCAAAGGCCATCACGTCATCAGTTTTATTCCCTCACGACCTACACGGACACAGAGCGACACATGGTGGTTGCCGTGCGTGAGTCTGTGGCTGTGTGCATGGCACTGTGTGTGTGCGCGGGGGAGGAACCACGGCTGAGGCCCATGTTGGCCAATATGGCAGTCGCCGTCTGACGTAGGAAGGACATTAGGGTTCAAAGCCGGCAGCCAAGGAGGAATCCTTGAGATGTTTTTGGTGCCAAAAGGTAGTTTTATTAAAGCACAGGGACAGGACCCGTGAGCAGAAAGAACTGCACTGGGGCTGATTATATACTTTCATTTTTTTTTTAAGACTTTATTTATTTATTTGACACGGAGAGAGAGATGGTGAGTGAGAGAGAGAGCACAAGCTTGGGTGAGAGGCAGAGGGAGAGGGAGAAGCAGTCTCCCGCTGAGCAAGGAGCCCAATGCGGGGCTCGATCCCAGGACCCCGGGGCCATGACCTGAGCCAAAGGCAGACGCTTAACCGACTGAGCCACCCAGGCGCCCCTGATTATATACTTTCAAGTTGGGAGAGGGTTAGGGAGGCATCATCAGTCTCTAAGGAATTTTGGAAGCAAGGTTCCCAGGGCCTTGAGCGGGCTAGCTATTATTAGGAAAAGGTCATTTATTACCGTCTAATAAAACCTTAGTCATGAGACCCTTCAGATGTGTATCGGTGGGTCATATCCTTGGAGGATGACGGCCAACATGTATCTCGAGGGGTAGAGATAAAGGAAGTTTCCAGAGGAATTTCTATATGTTAAAGTAGACTTACAGGGTCCTGGGCATCAGGCCAAGACTGCCTTTTGCCCTTAGCAAGGTAGCAACATCAAGGCAGCTGAATCCCTAGAGGAAGGTCACTCTGCCTGTGTCAAGGACTTGTCAATGGGCTGAAGGCAGTATGGAAAATTAACTTTTCTTTTGCCTTCGTTTCCCACATCAGCCTCTTTCCGTCACTTGCTATTGAGTTCTTGAAATATGGCTAGTGAGACTGAGAAACTGAATTTGAAATTTTATCTAGTTAATGTAGAGTTAGAAACTCAAGCAGTGTCAGATATTATTCTGCTAAATACAACTTTCCTGTTTGGGTTGGACTACATTTTCCTGACCCTTTGAAAATTAAGTGTCTGATGTGTGATGCGCCGTCAGCTTAGAGTACTCCCTGGATCTCAAAGACTTAGGGTAAAAAGAAGAACGTAAAATATCTCCTTAATAATGTTTACTTTGGTTCCATGTTGAAATGATGACACTTTGGATATATTGGGTTAAATAAAAACCTGTTATTAGAATTAACTGCCCCTGTATCTTTTTACTTATTTTAATGCAGCTACTGGAAAACAGTAAGCTTCACAGGTGGCTCGCAGTGTATTGCTCTGGGATGGCTCTGGTCTAGGCCACCTCCCTGTCACCCAAGGGAACAAACGCGGTTGTGATTTGACTCCTCCCCAGAGTCTCTCTCCCTGGCCTCTAATGACAGAAGCGGTTCCGGAAGAAAAACGTTCCCCATGTTTGCAACATGGACAAGTATATCCATTCCTCGGTGAAATATCCCCACAGGTGTCATCTCAGGTAGACCCACCCTGCTCAGAGCACCTCCCCTTTGGGGGTGCAAGGCCCAGAAGACCTGAAAGGCAACAGGGGTCTCCCTGAGCGCCTGCAGAAGCAGGAACACCGCGTGTACCTCTAACGCGGCATTTATCACGTTCTGTTATCACCAGCTTCTTCTGTTTCTGTCTCCTCCCTCCCTCACTCAGCTCTGACCTCCCCAGAGCTAGGGCTCAACCCTGCACGCAATGACGAGACGCTCAGTGAGACGCTCGGTTCTGCGCTGTTCTCTGCACCTGCCCCCCTCTGGCCCCTCTGGCTCCGCCCCGCTGACCAACGCTTGCTCCCCACAGGCTATCCTGGTGGTTCTGCGCCACTCCCTACAGCATTCTTATCTTTATCTATGATGAAGTCCGAAAACTCATCATCCGACGTCATCCTGGCGGTGAGGCTCCCCACGCCCTGCCCTGAGGGGTCCCCAGCCTCCTAACTGGCTCTCCCCTCCTGCCTAGTTCCCGGGGGCCAGGTCCGTCTCTCCCCACCCCACAGCCTGCATGTGCTGCCGGAAAGGTCCTGACTCCTGGCCTCCGCCATCCTGCTTCTTCCAGTCCTCGGGGCCCTGAGTTCTACCGCCAGCCTCCTACCTTGTGCTCGCTCCCCTCCACCTTCCCCAGTTCACTCGGGTCTCCTCTCGTCCACAGGCTGGCTGGAGAGAGAGACCTACTACTGAACTCAGCAGAAGAAGAGCTTCCCCTGCCGGGGGGGCCCAGGACTGGGGTGGTGGGGGGGGGGCGCGGGGGGGGTTATGAGCTTGGCGCATCTGAAGGAGCATGAGTTGGGGCAGAGTTGCTGGGATGAATTACCTGGGATGAGAGAGACAGGCAATCCTGGGGCTGGACTGAGGGCACTGGGGGGTGGAGGGCAAGCACAGGCTGTGTCCGGCTGGGGCCCAGGGGGAGAGGCGCTGTCCTGTTCAATCAGTAGCCAGTCTAGAGAATAAATGTTTGCAATGGCCCTCACCTGGCTGGATGTGTCTGTCTGGTTTCTGGAAAGAGGGGATTAATGTGACGGTGTCTCCACAGGAGCCGGGCAGGGTGGTCTTTCAGGGACCGAGTCGAGGCTGGGAGGGGGTCAAAATCAAGCATCCCTGCCCCTTGAGGGCTAACCCCCGACTTAAAGTCCAAAGACCCGAGGGAAAGCAAGGACAGGACAGGTGGAGCAGGACCAGAGGCACAGGTGAGGTGAGGGAGAGGCGGTAGAGCCCCAGCCTCGAGAGGGGGCCACAGCACCTTGTCCAGACTGGCACACGGACCCATCATGGAACTGAGCGCTAGAAAAGACCTTAGTTCATCCACGAAGAACCCGAGGTCCAGACGGGACCTGGGAAGCGTCCCAGGGTGAGTGGCGAATGCAGGGCCGGCCACCGCCTTCCTCTGGGGACCAGAAGCTGGTCCCTGCCTCCACAACCTGCCCTGGGGCATCTTGACCCCGTCCCATCATTCGGGATCCCGTAGCCTTGACTTTAGGTGAAGCACCCTGCCCTTTCGCACCCAGGCTCTGCCCAGGGTGACAGACATTCCCCAAGGACCGGCGTCCGGAGCCTGAGAAGCTGGGCCCAGGCTCCCTGCTGCGTGTCAGGTGGAGGAGTCGGAGGTGCCCTGGGCCCTCACCCCTCCCGGCCACCGTCAGACGTGGCTCCCCCTTCCCTTTGGGTCCTGTGCTGGCTGTTGCTCTGTGAGCTGGTCCACTTTGCCCTGGAGGGCAGGGCCTGGTCACACCTCTGCGGGGGCTGAGCCCAAAGCATGCAGAGCGGAGAGAAATGCTGAGGAAGTCTGTTGGAAATCAGAGACGGTCATCAAAACCAAACCATGTGTGTTAAGGGACAGCACGGTGTGCCCCGCGGCAGGACAAGCGCCCTGTGCACACCGTCCAGCAACTCACACAACAAGTAGACTCTTAGCACCCACCCTGTTTCACCGATGAGGACGCCAAGGTCTGTCTGACTCCAACACTTACGCCCTTAACCACTTAGGGCCCGGTCCCGCGATGAGGGCTGCGCCGAAAACACCCAACTACAAAACCAAAACCAGAACAACAGGGTCGTGAGCAGGGGGGAGGTCCACGGATGGCTCTGGAGGATGAGAGGCAGTGGGCTGGCAAAGAGAACGCCACTGTAAGGTGTAGCCAGCCCCTCTGGCCCTGCATCAGGCTCCTCCCAAGGTCCCTCCCACCGGTCGCCCTCCCTCCTCCAACAGCAGGTCCCCTAGGGACAGGGCTATATCGGGCTGGGGTCCTTCCCCTGCTGCTGACATGGCTGAACCAGGCCTGGAAGATGGAGGGGCCAGGGCGTGGGGAGTGAGTGGGGATGGGGAGCGCCGAGGGGCCAGCTCCTCGGGTTTCAGGAGCAGGAGCTTCGGGTGTCTGGTGGGTTAAAAATACAGAGGCCCCAACTCAGAGTCATTTGATACGGGCTGCTGAGGCCTATTAAGTCCAAGGGCCCAAAGGCAGGGGTCCAGAGGGAAGGGACGGAATAGAAAGTAGGGAGCAAAGCAGCAGGGAGAGTGGGGTGAGGAGCAGGTGGGGAGGGTGCAGCTGCTGGGATGGACTGGGTGGGACTGGGGGGCCCAGGTCACCATTTAGCCCCATCCCACACCCTTGGGGGTGCCGAGGGGCAGGTCCAATGTTCTGGAGTCTCCCCCCCCCGGCCAGAGTGCAGCAGAAGTCAGAAATCCACGCCCTCCCTCCTGTGGGCCTTCTGTCCGGCCGTGGCCGTGGGGATGTGGGCCACTCAGTGGCTCTCCTGGGAGCCCGGGAGATGTGTTCCGAGGCCCGTTTAGCTCCAACCGGCCCTGCTCAGGTTAGCTCTGGCCTCTCTTGCTCCAGGGACAGCTGTCTTTCTCGGACCCCCTCCTGCCACGTTCTTGAGATTTTCCGTGGCCTTCCTTGCTTGGCGGTGCAAGGCCCACCCCACAGGAGGGGGAAAAGTTATCCCTCTAACACAGTGTCATGCCCCTGCCTGGGTGCAAAATAAACCCTGTCTCTCCAAAAACAGAGACAGCCCAGGGTGGGGATGGAGTGCTTTGATCTAACCTCTCCCATGGGCTCCCCCGTGCCTCGGTTTACCTGTGTCTGGTAAGAGCACTGGAGGGCCATGAAGAGGGTCCTCCCTTCCTAGGTACCCAGAGCTGAACTCATCCACAGCCCTCACCCCAGGATGGGGCCCAGGAAGTTAGAGCCCCTCCCCCCCACTCCACCTGGGCTCTCAAGTGCGCAGAACCAACCAGCTCTGGCACGGGGCCCACCTCTTCAGGTTTTCCCTGAGTTCACTTCTCCCCTGGCCTTTATACCTGATCCTCTCGGTCAGAATGCACTGCGGCAACTCTCCTTCCTTACAGTCATCCAGCCCCGGGGGACCCTCCCGCCCCACTGTGCCCTAGAGAACTGAGTCCCCTCTGATCCGAGTACCCAGCACAAGCAGGAGGCAGGAGCTGCAGGACTTTCCCCTTCCCGTGGAGAGAAACCCCGGATCACATTTCTGCAGCGCAGATGTGGGCCAGCGCTTCGTGCCCCGTGCCCTGTCCTTCCCCTGCGTCCCGACTTAGGGTGTTGAGTGAAGCACAGGAAAGTGGCTGGGGCTGAGCCAGGTCGCCCGCCCGTCCTGGCCGAGGCTCCATCTTTTATTCGGAGAATGACATCATCCTTAGTCCTGGTTCTTGAAAGGGAAGTGCAGGGGGTCTCTTCCTGCAGCCCGGGTGCTTTCTACCACCTTCTCCTCCCCTGGACGGAGGAAACAGGCCACACCCAGAGGACAGTCCCAGGTTTTAGGCATTTGTGCCCCCTTTGTCCTGTCATACGAATTGAATCTCTGACCCAGAATACCTCCTCTCCACCCCCATTTCCCTGGGTCTGAGTACCCTTGCCCTCCCTGGCCTCTCCCTAATGACCCCATGCCTCCCCTCCCCCAGCCCAGCTCATTTACCTCCGACTCATCTGATCTTATTTTTAGCTCAGGCTTTTTCCTTTCTTAATATGGCGATGAGCTTTCCGGGCCGGGCCGGGCGTGGGGACTGTGCTGAGGAGCCCTGGCCGCCGTCGGGGAAGGCAGCGGGGGAGGGGCTCCCAGAGCCAGGGGGCGAGGCGGAGGAGGAGGGAGGGTCCCGGCCTCAGAAGGTTATCCTCCCTCCTGCCAACCCCAGAGACATATTTAGATGGAGCCGGTGGGGGCCCTGGGGTGCCAATTTCAGGGGCAGCTCCGGTTCCCTCCCCACCCCCTGCTTCCATCCCTCCTCCTGACCCATTCACTCTTGGCTCTGTCAGCAGTTTGTCCGGGACCCAGCAGTGTCCTCTGTCCACTGCTCCAGGCCATTCCCCACCCCACCCCCCTGTGAGCCCCTCACTCAGGGTTCAGGACCCAGGGCCCCGCCCGACCCCAGCCACCCTCTTAGGGACCTGAGAGCCGAGGCTGACCCCGCTCCCTGCACCGCACCGCACCGCCGACAGGATGGGGGCCAGCACGGGGCCCGGGCTGCGGCCGGCACTGTTCTTCCTGCTGGTGCTAGGGACATCCAGGTTGGGGGTGCAGGGGGAGGACGGGCTGGAGTTCCCTCAGTATGACGGTGTGGACCGTGTGGTCAACGTCAACGCCAAGAACTACAAGAATGTGTTCAAGAAGTATGAGGTGCTGGCGCTGCTCTACCACGAGCCCCCCGAGGATGACAAGGCCTCACAAAGACAGTTTGAGATGGAAGAGCTGATCCTGGAGGTGAGTCTGGGGTCCGCGGGCCTACAGAGCACAGCGGCCTCTCCCGGCCACCCCCAGCCCGCAGCCGCATGCAGACTTGGAGGGGGACTCGGGGCCTCATGGCGTGCGGCCTCGGCCCCATGGGAAACTGACTTGGGACCCCAAAGTCCCACCACGGGTAGGCACGTTTAGGCGTGAGGGGCTGCAGGGAGACCCCTCCCCCATGTCCTTGGAAGAGGAGCACAAAAAGGAGAAGGGCCGTGCTTTGGTCGGAGGAGGGGGCTGGAGCTGCACGACGCCCCCCACCTACTCTCCTGGCCAGAACATGCCCCCTCTCTCCACACACCGCAGGCCTGCACCCCAAGTCGAACCAAAGGGTATGCATTTTAAACGCTACCGACATCTTATTTGCATGGTAACTGTTTCTCCCACCAAAGGTTTAACAGAGACCACCGTGGCGCCCACCGGTCTCAGTACCTCTCTTCCTAATTCTCCATCTGCCCCTATTGGGTCAGGCCAGATGCCCTGATTGGAAAATTCTTGCAATTGGAGGAGGCCTCAGAATGCCTTCCCCAGCTTCTCTCTATGGGAAGGTTCTCCTCGCCCGCAAGCCGACTTACAACAAGAGAAAGGGCCCGTGTTTGGGGATGACTGGTTGACGCGGCCCCACACGCTCTCTAGCCGTACGTGTTCATGTTCCGGCCCAAGCTTGTGCAGCCCGTTCTCCAGCCCGGCAGGACAGCGAGGCCCCAGCCTGCCTGCAGGAAGGACCACACAGGCTCTCGTTTCTGTAGGCCCCTGCGGCTGCTGGAACCTGCCATCTGATTAATGCACTGAGTATTTTTATCCTGAGTGCTCAGCATCTCGGCCCATCCACCTGCCAACAGCCTCCCTCCCCGTCCTCCTGAGAATCTGGGCGCCTGTGTGTGTTAGGCGGGGTGAGGCTGCAAGCCCGTGGCGGAGGGCACCAGGGCGGAGTCCAGCTGGGA